AGCAGGGGTCCAATGTTTTCCTTGCTTTTCCTCCGGCTCCCCACATATCTGAAAAAGGACTTTTTTATTGTCCTTGATGCTCAAAGCTAGTTGGAGTTCAGTTGCAGCCTTGGCTTTCCTGATTTGCTCCCTGCAGGACCGGACCAGTGCAGAATATTCCTCCTTGGAGGTGAATCCCATCCTCCATCCTTTCTAGGCCTTTCTTTTTAGCCTTAGGAGGTCTGCTAGATTTCTGGAGAGCCAGAGAGGCTGCTGTGCCCTCTTGCTGCCTTTCCTCTGAGATGGAATAGAATTAGCTTGTGCATTGAGGATCTCTTCCTTTAGGAGCAACCACTTTTCCTAGACTCCCCTCCCCGTGGGGTTGTGGTCCCTTAGGGCCTCACTGACAAACCTCCTGAGCTTGTCAAAGTTGGCTTTCCTGAAGTCAAGGACTTCAGTGTGGCTGACTGACTTGCCAGCTTTATGGCGGAGGTGAAGGTGATCAGCTCATGGGAAACTGGGTGACAGCGACCATCAATCACTAGGTCGTGGATTAGGTCATCCCCAGTAGCCAGTACCAGGTCGAGCAGCGCTTTACCTCTCGTTGGCCCTTAAACTTCTTGAGTCAGGTAGAAGTCATCCATGCACAATAGGAAGCTTTGCGACCACTCGGATTTTGCTGAGTGATCCTCCCACAAAATGTCTGGGTAGTTGAAGTCACCCATGACAACCATGGCCCTGGAGCATGCGGCCTCAGCCAGTTCCCAGGCGAATTCCTGGTCAAGCTCTTGACTTTGGGTGGGAGGTCTGTAGTAGATTCCCACTGTTGTGTCCCCCGTACCGTGTTCCCCATGGATTTTAACCCAGAGGGTCTCCAGTTGTCCACCCTGGTCGCCGACATCGGCTTGCAAGGACGCGTAGCTTTCTTTCATCTTTTTGAATTATTAAAAAGTAAATAATAATAGTTATACATGGGCAAATTAAGCCAAATAACCACACTTTACCATTTGGAACTGTTTAAGGTATGGCACAGTGTTCACTGTGTGTCAGCAACTCAAGCTGGTGTGGCAGTCACTAGTAGGCTATTATGAGTTCTTGTCAGTTAAATCTGCATTTCAGCTGCTCTGATTTATCATGGGAGCTAAATCATCTCTCAGCAACTATGAAGGATTCAGAGCAGAGCAGTGGTTTTGCCTCTCCTCAGGTGCACCCTTAACTCATCATCTTATTGGTGGTTGGCCTTTAAGGCTGAATTTGTAAACATGCATGTTTTTAATTATGTAACTGGAAACACCCCGTGAAGTCAGTAGGAATTATTATTTTCCTTTTCATTATCAGGAAGTTAAGCAGAAAAAATTACAATGTTACAATTTAAAATGCATCAAGGAGAATAGCTAAGTTTTGTGTAACCTTCATTTGTCCAGTTTGTGCATGAAGGACCAGGTTTGCTTCTGGCTAAATCAGTATGTACCACCAAAAATCTAATCTCAGCAGGGATCGTGTAGTTTCTTAGTCTATACACTGTTTTCTGATCATCATTGATTATTTTAATAAAATTCTAATCACTATGCAGTGTATTATGAGGACAGAGTGCTTCACCGGCAGGGATGGCTCAGAGTGCTTCACCGGCAGGAATGACTAGATGATTCAATAAAATTAGGAGATGAAAAAGACCTATAAAACAATTATTTTAACAGTTGGTTTTTGGTACTGCTGCAGATCTGTCCATGTATGGCCAGATCGCACACTATGTGAATTATGTTATTTTTTATTTTACTGTCTGCCACAGAATTGAAATTGTATATGCCAAAAATATATGCAGTTGACTTTCACTCGCATGTTGTGGATCTTCCTGTTAAGAAAGACATTAGAATGGAGATATAACTCAGACTTCTATGGCTGAATTTGGCTCCATTGCGTCTTCCTGAAAATGGTATACAAGCTCGCTCCTCCCCTGAAGTGGCATCTCACTGCCTAAAGTAAACTTCATGTAACTAGTGGGTTAAATCTAAATAAAGTTAGCCTCAGAATTTTTTATTTTACTTTTGTCCTTAGCCTTCTCCAGCACAGGGTTTGACTGCCACACTTCCCCTGTATTCAGTCCTGCCAATCCAGAGAGCTCAATTGAGGATTGTCTGGCTCATCTTGGAGAGAAAGTGTCCCAGGAATTGAAGGAACCTCTACACAAAGCACTGCAGAGTCTGCTCAGCAAGTAAGTTACCATCTGTTTCCTCAGATGGAAGGCACACCCTCTTTAAATGCTGTCTGTCGCTAGAATGCCAACAATTTGACTGAACTGCCTTCTGGTATTTATTTCTCTTCTGATCTTCCTTTACTTGTCCTCTTTATAAGAATACCACTTTGCTGTATTTAATATTACGTTGGGGAGTATTTTTCAGACTATTAACCTTTTAACTTATGAGCACTGAGCCTACATGATTGAGTTGACATGCCTGAAACTGCAGGTTATACTGGTAGCTGACAGTCACCAGCAAATCACAGATTTGCTGGATGCTGGAGTATAGCCAGATTCGTTTTCCCCACCCTACAGTTGAAAGCAATGTTAGGGCTCTGGATGTGGTATTATAGTACTAAGGGGCTAATGTTGTTGATATCTCTGTATTTTAGGTACCCCAGATGTTGCTAAACTTGTCTTGGGTTGCACATCTGCCAATGGAATTACTTCCACATTTTCATAGTGGGAACCTACCTCTCAGCCTGTCACACTCCTGGCCTTTAAAATGAGGGACAAGTAGGAAATAATAGAGAAGTTACGTTCAGGTAGCACAGAAACGTGCTTAAATGTAAGTCAGTTTCTTTTTCTTAAAAAAATATGTATACTTAGTGGGGGGTGGGTTCTCAAGGAGCTGGCATGAGACAGGAAAACAGTTGATTACATGCTGATTCACCATGTCTTTTCAAGTGAATGTGGGCACCTGTGCTACCTGTAGTGGCAAGGACTGTGGCCTTTCATTGTAGTGATGATTGGCCGTGTCTACGCGAGATGCTGACTGTGCAGGCATTCAGCACTTGTATAAACAAGTACAAGTTCATACCACTTGTAGAAACAAGTACTAAATGACTGCACAGTAGCCAGAGTTACTGAGTAGTAGTGTTGCCAAATGCCTTTTAGGTGATGCTGATTGTACAGTAGCTCATTACTATTGCACAGTAGCGTAGCAGTATGCTTCTACCATGCTATGTTGGCCCTTGTCTATTGGACTAAATCCTTGGCATGCTTGTCTTGATTAAAGTGGTTGATAGGCATTGTAGAGTTACTGGGACTGTCATTTTTCCAGTATGAATTATCAGTCTGGGTTTCAAGTGACTCAGATAATTTTTTTCTGCCTAAATAATATTGCATTTGAAGTCCAGAATTTGTCGATAGAAAGCATGAGTAGAAGCAGCCAGTTGTCAAGGCTGTATATAAAATACAACTGTGAAGACAACTGTAGAAAAATTAGCTTGGCTGTGCCTGACTTGTGTGTCTAACTTGTGGATTGATAGCCTCATGTCTCTGACAGGAAACCAAGTTTTAGTGGTACTCTACCCAGATCTCTTCTCCTATTCCTGTTCCTGCAGAGTTCAAACACCTTGATATTGAAATCCTATAGTTCAATTGTATAGCTTAAACTTTAGTTCTCACAGACACTAGAGGGCATATCTGTGCCTTAATAAAGCAAGTAACTTCCAGCTTTGGTGAGGTAATGAAATATATAAGTAGTTCCTTGAGCAGTGTTTTGCAGTGAACCAAGTGGCACAGTTGTTTTAAACATGAAATTGATGTCAGTGGAGGAAGAGTGGGAGTTGCATTTTCTTGGGCATGAAAACGGTGTCTGAATCTATTCGTTCCTTGGTCTATCCAATATAAGTATATAGTCATCCATCCAAGTTTCCCCTCTGAAGCTTGTAATTGCAATATCTGCTCTTATGTTCAGTTTGCATTGCTCATAGAAATGAAATTCTGCCTTGTGCATGATGGTACATAGAGCTACCTTTAGGCTGCCACGCTAGGTTAGGCAGATAATTATAATTTCTTTCTCTCATTATCTTCTTTTGAGCAAGAATAATGAATACTGGCTACTTGGTTGGTTCCACTTTAGCACCATGCATCAAGAAGAAATTGAGAACTCTACTTATAACCTTTCCACAGGTTAACAGTGACTTGGATTACCTCTATCAGAGAATCATAGACAAGTAGGGTTGGAAGGGACCTCTAGAGGTCATCTAGTTCAATCCTCTGCCTGAGGCAGGATAATCCCTATCCAAACCAGCCTGTACAAATCCATAATCTAACACATTATTAAAACTACCATCAACAAAAACATGACATAACCTAATTTGACGTAGGTAAAGGAGGTGGACCGCGGCAGCCAACATCCGTCCTCTGTGAAAGATTGTTAATTTATGCTCAAGAGATCCTAGGAAGAAGGCCACATCCCCTGCTACACAGGAAGGCAAAAACCTGCACGGTCTATACCAGTTTGACCATGGGATTAAATACCTTCATGATCCCAAATATGGCAGTAGGTCTAATCCTGGAAAAGACCTCCTGACCAGGAACTTCCTGATTTAAATCCCAGCAGAAGCATTGGCACACCCTAGTCAAAATCCCCCACCTTGGCTGCAGCCAACACCCAAAGGTAAATGTGCGCACATACTGAAGTCTTGTGGATCTTTCATTTGTCTAGTAAAAGCATCTGTTCAGACAGGTTGTGCTGTATGCTTGGCACAAAGTAGTCTTTGTTGCAGGTGTTTACAAATTGTCAAAACCTGTTGACCCATCTACATGCTCCTTTAGAAATACACAGTGAAATGTATTTTTCATAGGATGCCCTTAGAGACAGGGAGGTTTGTTTGTTTGTTTGTTTTTCCTTGCTTTTGATTTCCCTTTCTTCTTGATAAGAGGTAATGAAACATTTTGCCAGGGAATCATTTTCTTTTTGTAAGATGATTGGCTTTTACCCTCTGATTCCCTGAAAGTTTACTTTGGTGTACCTAGAGAATTATTAGATTATAGCACAGCAGTTGACTTTTAGTTGACTGTTAAGAGATGCTTTCATTTTAAGCTTTATTTTGACATGCTTATTTTAACTATTTAAAAAGTTACCCTTTGATCTTAATTATCTTATGCTCTTACTTAGTGATAACAATGCCTTACACCTTTCTTGGGAAGGCTGGTCAAATTCTTATCCAAGAATGAAAGAGAGTAGTTTCAGAAATATTTTTTTAGGGATAAGTGTGCTCTGGGAGCATGCATTTTTAAAAAAAAAAGGAAGATAAAGGTTTGTAGTTGTGTAGGAGGTAGTTCCTTTTGACACATTTTAAACTGCTTGTTGTTGAAGTAACACAGAGGTGGGCAGTTATTTGGGCTGGAGGACCACTTAGGGAGTTTTGACAAGCTGTTGCTGGCTGGGTCAGCACCCTTCCGGCCTGGGGCAGAGCTGTGATCCACTCCCTGCCTGTCCCGCTCCCAGATGTTGCTCCCTGTCCACCCGTGGCCCATTCCCTGCTGTTGCTCCCAGATGTAGCTCCCTGCCCACTTGTGGCCCACTACCTGCCCACCCATGGCCCCATCCCATCCCATCTGTCCAGCCAGGCACACCCTGCCCATGGTGGGTCCCAGGCTAGTCTCCATGGAGATCCCACCTGCTCGCCTGCTCCATCCGTCATCCCCGGTGGTGGGTGCAGGGTGGACAGGCTGGGGTACCCAGGCAGCAGGGCTGGGTCTGGTGTCAGCGGAGACATTGGCAGCAGAAGACAGAAGGAGCTACCACCCCTGGGGCTGCCTGCAATCTGAGTCCAGTTGCCATGCCACCCCAGCCCCACTGTGTGCTCAGGCATGGTGGGACCAGCCACGCATGCAACGGCCCAAGCTGCCCCCCCATGCCTGGGCTAGGAGGCAGGGGTGACTGGTGTCTCCTGAGTCTGGAGGGGGACACAATTTGTGGGTGGGCCCAGGGACAGGCTAAAAGCCTCATATCCACTCCTATACTTGTGTGCTGCAGCTTAGTGCCCCCCCACCCCCCACATGCCCCCCTGGCCCATGCGGCAAAAACTTCCCGGTGCTGAGTTGTTGGCTAATCTCAGGGGGGGCACGCCCCCCCCCACCCCCCCCAAGTTGCCTGTGCCAGGAGGGGCTGAGGGACCTGCCATGGGCCGGATAAAATCCCTTGGCAGACCAGATCTGGCCTGCAGGCCATATTTGCCCACCCTTGAAGTAAAACAAAACACACAAATCTTAAAAAGAATGAGCTATGAAGATCTAGGCATGAGTTGTTAATTTGTCTTCTATATCCTAGAAAGACATGCAAGTAAGTGATTATCTACATCTGTGGGAATCTAGAGAAACTTTTACCCACAAGTGATTCCATTCAGTTTTACAGTGCTAATAAGTCATTACATGCTGCATTACAAATTTGCAGAGTATCTTCCAAATGGTTTGGACATTTCAGTTAAGATACTAAGCTCAACAGCCCCTTCCTGCAATGATTTAAACCTATTTGTTTCTAGGGAAGAAACTTAGAACTTGTCACTTTTTCCAGAGCTAATGTACTAAACTCCACTAACAGTATTGTAAGTTTATAAGTACATCCTATGGGGCCACAGCGTATGGGATGTGTGCATGGCAGTTGAAGAGGCCTTTCAGTGGATAGCTATCGGATTTGAGAGATTTATCTTTGTCTGAGAACTTTCTAAATTAAGCAGGTATTGACTGAGTTAGCATGTGGATGGATGATCAAATAAGAACACCTGATATTCTGGGGGAGCTTGTTTTTTCTGATGGCAAAGATTATTTTGATATAGTATATTACCCAGTAAATTCAGTTACTTGTAGTCACTTTTCTCAAATGCCTAGTAACAGTGTTGTACAGTGTATTGGGGGAAGACTGGTTTGATCCCTACCACTGTTATTTTGTCCACATATTAAAGTTGGATAAAATCAGAACTTCTATAGCCTGCAGTCATATGGCCACAGAATATGTTTGAATTCCTTTTCAACTTAAGCAAGTTTGGAATGGGTAGGAAAAGGTACACCACATACAGGCCTCTCTAAACAGCAGCTCCAGTCTGGCACATAATCTCCTAATAATTATCTTTCTGAAGTTGATAATACTCTTCCTAACCTACTAATTCATTTAAACGAGCTTAAAAAGGAGCCAAAAAAGTTAAGGCATTGTATTTAAAATAGCAAGTCATGCTCTCAGTCCCACTATGAGCCTTAACTCTGGTCTTTTACTTGTGCTCACTACAATAATGGTTTTAGTTACATGATCATATTTCATTGGGTAATATGAGATGCTATTTTGTAAATGAAATCAAATGAAAAGGTAAAACATCTTTTCTTACCACATATATAAGCATAATATATCATTAGATCATACAGTACTACCAGCTGGATGTAAACAAGAGGTTCCTGTTTCTGCTACCCATGGCCAGAATCTTTTTCTCTGCTTAAACTAGATCCTGGCCTTTAACTTGACCCTGGTATTGCTGTGGGAGCAGTTTCCCTGAAGCATGCTGGTCAGTGCTTCATTGGTTTTACCTGTATGTCAAACAAAGTTTCCTCCAGTCACAACAAGGAAGAATTTCACATGAGGAAAATTTGTTAGGGTGTCCACTGGCTTTAGAGAGAGATGGGAATGCTCCTGTGTTCCCTGAAAGAGTTGTGGTAGGTAGTGTCACTTTGGCAGAAGTTATGCTTTTGTAACCTCTTCCCAAACAAAAAAAATAATCCTTTTTCCCATCCTAAAATGAGTACATCATCCTCATCCCAGTATTTAGAAAGAGAAGGATTTAGCAATTCTAAAACAAAAGGTCCTAGGGCATTTATCTTTATATGCAAAAGGTTGATTGTGTAATCAAAAGTACTTCATTTCCCACAACTAATGCTTTAACCCTAATGCAACATTAACATTTTTCAAATAATCAGTGCTTATAGGTAATCTTTTACTTGCAAGTCTGTCTGGTTAAACCTCAAGGTGCAGCAGATTTTATTAAGATTTCCTTTTAGAGCTTCATAACCTTTAGAATGAGGAATTCCCTCCTAAAGATGTGATAAAAAGGAGAATGGGAATTTTTATAGCAGGTGAGAGGGTCTAGTAATTTAGTGCCCTATTTCAGATGGTAATCTACATTGGGTTCTTCATTTAGTTAAAAGCCCTGTGGCTCATCTAACTGAGTGAATGATATGATGCTATTGACTTAGTGGAATGTCTTCTTGACCCCATCTGGTGATCGTGGTTTATACTGTCAAGCGTGAGATTCGATAGGCCTTGAAATTGTCTTAGCTCATATAATAGTTTATGCTTGCAGCGAGTATGTGACCACTTAGGCACCTGGGAATAAGAACTCTTGTAGGTTTTTATTTTTTTTCCTCCTATTTTTCTCTGTATAACTTTTAGTGTTGTTTTAATTTTTATAGGCCAGTGACTTACCAGGAATACCGAGAACGTACACAGGAGGTAGCTGCTCACGCCAGTGGATGGAGCAAGGTACCAATCACATTGTCTTGACTTTAAGTTCTTAACAATTTGAAGCCAACTGGGAGGCCTTTCTCTACAATAGTCCCATTGTAGAGTAAGCAAAAATTGTGGACTTCAGATATTTAGGAGTAAAATGGGGCCAGGACTAAACAAAATACACTTGGAAACTTTTGTCTGATAACTTGCCCTTTGAAATGGTAGGGTTTTAGATGTTGTATAATTTTTAAAGTTTTTGTTAGACTTTATTTAATCTGTTATTTGTTAAATTTACTACTTTATACCACAATATTGTCTAAGTACTATATTTACTTGAATTGAAGATGACCCTCCCATATTTAGATTCTGTCCATGGAAAATTTATAAATTTTCCAATCTTTTTCTACAGATAGAACCTAATTATTGGAGGATCATCTTAAATTTATCCCCATCACGACTGCAGTGGAGAAAACAGTGGTAGGGGGCAGGTGGTGGGGGAGGCAGTAAGAGGATAGGCAGTGTGAGGAGGAGTGAGGGGAAGGCAGCTTGCCCCTGTCACCTGTCTCTTTCCCTGCCTCCTCTTTTCTGTTGCTGAAAAAGAACATCTCCATTACTAGCATTCTTCCAACATAGTATTGGCTAGAGCATTGATTCAGCATTTACCCAGAAAAAATGCACTGCCTATTGGACCATCAAAACCACTTTCTACTGTATTAAATGATGGTGACATTGAGACATTTTGGAAGGTTTTAATTTTTTTGCTTGACCTTGCGTAATCTGAGATTTTATGGGATTATTAAAATACAAAGACCAGGAAGCTAGAATTAAAATTCCCAGACATTTCTGTTCTGAATTCCTAACTTCTGCCATTTAAAATCTGAACAATAATATTATACTTTCAATACAGTTTTCCATTAGCTGGTATAAATAACACTGTTTAAAAAAAAAAAAGTCTTAATGAACTGTTTGGTACTTCTGTACTCAAAGACACCTACATTTTGAGCTTTTATGGTACCTGAGATTTTATGTTGAAAACTGATGACTCTCAGATGTAGAAAAATTAATTCTTTCACTATAATGTTTGTACTTAGGGCATTATTTTCTACTGGAGATCTCATTTTCATCTGAAAAGACCATAGATTTTTCTAAAAACTTAAAAATGTTAAAGGTTGCCTGCTCTAAGTCATCTTGCCATATATTCCCTGTCTTTTTAGTGTTTTATCTTGTGGAGTTGCATGAGTCTCTTAACCAGAAATAGGGTATTGTCAATAACAACCATCTTTTTCTTAATTTTAATAATCTGTCCCTTGCTTTCTTCTATACATGTGAACTAAGAAACAAGAATGAGTGGTGTAATCCCAAAGTTCACAAAATATAACTGTCTCAAATGTAGGATCTTTAGTGTTTTAAATTTGTAGTAGATCCTATTGTTTTAGATGGAAATTTCTCTTAGCCAACAGCTAACTAACTGTTCAACAGGAAATCTTATGTCTAACACTAGGCATATTGTTTAAAATACAGTACTTCTAAGCATGTACAGCATTTCAAAGTATTAACCAATAGGGACAGAGAGGTTGGATTATATCACCATGGTTTAATGTAAAGTAGAATTATTACATCAAAGATGCCCCAACAGTCTGTGCATCCTCGGGACTGGCTGCCAGAGTGGGAATCATTAAACCAGTCCTTTTTTACCTTTGTGTAACACTTTCAGAGAGAGGGTATTAAAGGGGATTCAATAAAAAGGCCTCTAGGTAGACTGTTTTGGGGATTATAAATCTAGATTTATGTTCTCTGCTTTCCTAGACAGCTCCCTCCAGGAAAGGAGAGAACAAAGAATTTATTTACAAGTTTAATTAAAAAATATTTAGTCATAGCAGTAGAAAAGAGTGAACCAGGCTTTCTGAAGTAATTACCAAGAAGTACTTTAACAATTAACTAAATTTATTTAAAAAAAAACCAAACCAAAAACTAAACCTGATTCATTAATTGTGTGAATATTTTACTTTCTTTAGTAGAGTTCTCCTCACCACTACTTAAAACATGGGTAGTCTTCAGCTATAAATTTCTAGAATTGAGACTTCCAGCCATAGACCCTAGGAAACATTTTCTACCTTTAGGTCATGTTATTCAGCCCTTTCAGCCTGTGTAGCTCCTTCCAGTCTAAGAGATCCCAGTCCTAGTACAGCTTCAACTGAGAATCCTAACCAGAAGATGCTTTTGATGTCTATATTTTAAGGACGTTCAGCTAAACATTACATGGTGCCTGCTGGTGTTGGCTTCCCAGAAATGTCTGATTTGTTTCAGTGCAAGACTTTTAAACCCTGTGGTAATATTTCAGCAAGCAAGAACCAACATTGTGTAGAATAAATACAAAATATGCCTGTGCACCATCTTTATCCTCCAGGAATGTCTAGCAGTTCCTTTAATAATACTTATTTAAATAAATGGAATACAACTGTATTAATTTCATTTCCTTTTAAATTCCACTTCCCTATCAGAGGAGCATTTTTGTAACAAAAAAAACAGGATAGTTGAACACCAGAGATGCCTTTTGCTGCAGCCTCAGCCTTCCTTAGTTGACTTGTGAGAGAAACAAGGCTACTACAAAAATAATTTTAAGAAGCGTGCAGTTTTAAACTGAGGAGTCTTGTTGGGCCTAATTATTAGGTATACTGCAGCCAAGTATGGGACTGGGCTGATAAGAATACTTCTGTCATTTGCCATGTGCAGTATTAGGATAGAGCCTATTGTAGGTGAAGAGACCCTGGCGAGTTGCCAACATGGAAAGGGGTCTTTGAAAAGCCTTCCCCTTGGACATAATTCTTCTGCTTTGACAGTTTTCCTCTGTCTTATATTTTTATTATCAGGAATACTTTGAATTGAAATGGTAACAGCATCCCTTTATCTGGTCCAGATGTTCACTTTCCCAACTGAAATTGTTGCTGCAATGACAGCCGTATAAAAGTAAAGTCAGCAGTAGGAACAGATATATTTTTTTAAGTGGGTGATGGATGCCATTTCCATGGAAAATATACTGAATAAGCTGAGAGAAGAGAGCCATCTATAATTTTTTTCTAAACAGATTATTTTCTCATACTCCTGTAAGTGAAGTAATGTTAGGTCTTAAATTTTACTTAAATGTCCTGTCAAGTTTGCTTTTGCAAGTTTGCTTGAGAATGGCAGGGAAAACATTTTAGGTAAAATACCAAGTAGTACTATGTAAATTAAGTAAATGGCAGCTCCTAACTTGACTACCCTGCAAACAAAAAATGCACTTTCTCCTACATGCTACTGGGAGGTTTCTGTTCCAGAGAATTACATGGAATATTAGAAAACCAGATATATACAGGAGGTGCAGCAGGGAACTGCTAATAAAGTGTTGTACCCATGAATTTTCTTTCCTACCTGCTTAATCCTGGGTTCCTCTCTTGATATGATTTTTATGATTAATTTGGATTAAAAGAAATAGAGTATCTGGAGTTGGAAGGACAAAGTGTTTGGTTGTTTTTTTAAGAGAAGATAAAAGCAAGCTGCCCCTATGTGCTCAACTTAGGATCTGACAGTTTGCATAGCAAAAGGCTTTTCTTTCCATGGATAGCCTGTGAAGTAGTACAGAGAAATAAAACTTTAAAATCAAAATAGTGTGTCTGAGCCTTCTGCAGCTAGATGAAAAGTGGTATGATCCCTTGCAACAACACTGTACTGATGCGAGGCAGAAGCTGGTGGCAGAAGACTTTATTTGATACATATTACCTGTCAGAAATAGCTCAAATATTGATTTTTCCTCTCCATCTTTTGAATGCCTTTGACCCTAAAACACTTTATAGTGTCCCCATAAAGTAAGTAGTGCATCTTTTTTTCCAGAGGGGGGAATCTAGCATAAAAATTGAGACACTTCAAATCAGCAACTTTGTGACAAAGCTAGGAATGTCAGCAGGAGCTTTGATTCCCTGATCCTGATATAAACTGTTGGTTTATTCACATTTTTCAAAACTGGGGTATGTTTCTGGTTTCTGTCCTGGAACTGATGTGTTAGTCTGGCATCCAGAAAGGCCTGCACTGCAGCTGACTCTGGGAGAGTTCCTTTAGGCCTAGCTTGTGTTTCTTTCAGCTCCTGGCCAAGGTGCAAGTAGGGATATTTCTGTACTGCTCTGTTCTTTGGAGTTTGAGCTGTTTCAGGCTATCTCAAGTGGGATATGGCTAATTTACATGAAGAGCTGCATTGAACCCCTGATGGGTCCAGAGTCCAGGTCACGCACTGGAGATTCAAAGCAGTTTTATTGCATGTTTACTGCAAGCTGTCACACTGTGAGAGAGGGCAGGATTTTTCCTGTTGTGTTGAATATACAGCGATCAGATTGATTTGATCAAGGTGCAAGTATGAGCAGTCTAGTTTAGAACTGGAAACGTGTGCCAGGTTTAAAGAGTACAGATTTTCACAGAATTGCTGAATATGCACAAATGGGAGAAAGGAAACCAGTACAAAATATAATGGCTATTTTCAGTAAAACACACTGGACTATTTCCAGTATGTCTTGGCCTATTTGGATTGATGAATCCATTTATTGGCTAGTGACTGGAATCTAAATGAAAGCCTTCGGTCACAAAGAGCTAGGTCCAAGAAAGGGTTTGGGTTCCTATATCCAACCAGACAATTGACAAATACCCTTTTTAACCCCTTAGGCAGCTGTGATAGGTCATAGGTGTCTTAAGTTTTTTCTGTTAAAAAAATTACTTTAGCACCTAAAGAAGCCAGAGGTAGGACAACAGAAGTATAAAGATGACAGCTAAAGGTTATATGTGGTATGAATACTCTGTGTGTGCTTTACACAAATTCAGAGTTGCTTTAGTTTTTTCCTATGTGGTTTGGAATGAGCCATGAGTATTGTTTGAATTAACTTTTCTTTTTTGGTTATGCTGGCACAACCTTGCTGAATTTAGTGAGATTCCAGTAGTGTAACCAAGAGTATATTTTGCCTCATTGTTCTAGCTAGTTGGAAAATTTGGGTGACAATTTTCTGGAATAAAAACATTTTTGTTCAGCCCTTTCCATTAAATTTTCCCACCCGTCTTCATTTTTTGGCGTGCTGTACTTAACTAGATATTGTTCTCTGTGAATCAAATTGTAGATACCCTGTAGCATTATTTCTTAAGATATACTTGCATGGTTTTGTGAAGAAGGGTCCTTTTAATGTGTCTATACAACAGAGAAAATAATTGTGATTATTTATGGGGTTTTGCAGCTTAAAGTTTTATGTTTGCGTAATTAAAATTTCAAGTTCCACTTATGTGTTTATGCATCTTTTGCACATAATAAAACAGTAACTCTCTGGATAACGAGGATAAAGATGTTGTGTTTTTAATCTGTTGGACAGCCTTATGCTACCGCTAGTCAGGCTGTTCTTGTTCGTGAAGTCAGTGACTCCATTGGGAAAAAAAATCAGGTCCTACATTGAGCTGGAGATCAGTATTTTTATTTGTTCCTTTGTTCCTCAGTACTGCAGGGCCTGACTGAGGTTTAGGGAGCATCTGAAAGATCAAATGTTTAAATTGGCAAGGGAAGAAAGACATTGTAGTACAAAATACTAGCTTAATTTCCTTACTAGTCTCTTATGCCTCCAGCTTAAAACACACATTTCTTACCAAGAGCTATATGTATGTCCTGTTGGAGGTTTAAAAATGTAAACTGTTTGAGTTGTCTGGTGTACCCACAGCATCTGTAGAAAATAAAGCCTTGACCACTTATTTCATGCTAATTGCTTCCCATGTATGCTCTGTCCCTCTCCCTCTGACTAGGAATAATGTATGAGAAATTTTAGTCTAAGATGACAGGAAATATGTGAAAATGCAGTTTTAAAGTAACAGTGTCATCACAATTATGTAATTAGTTATCCAGACTATAACAATATACACTGTTGTGTTGTGGACAAGACCTCTTTTGTCCTCCATTTTTCAGCTCTTCATGATCCAAAACATGCTATCCCTCTCACTAGTGGGCTGACATCTTTATGCTCTCCATGTACATTTTCACAAGGGTTCATCTGTGTCTGTATCCACTCCATGGCCTACACCAGTCTCTGCAATTTTTCTACTTCTTTCCTGCGTGTTTTTCCCCTATGTTGCATCCTCTACTTATGCCTGGGACCAGCAATGGGAAGAAGCTGCAAAACAGCCTACTACGAGGGAGACTAGCAAGGCATTTATGATTCATTCTAAGCAACATTCTCAGCCTGGACTATAGCTTTTTCACGAAGCACTCCAGTGACCCTTTCTGCCCATAGGGGATTGGTTGGTCCTTACGGAGAATAGATGTGCAGTGCATTTACTGGGTTCTTTAAAGCATTAATATTTTTTCTCGTATCTGCTCCAAGAGCTTTTTCAAAAGTTAATGGCTCTAATTCAGACCATTTTTTCCAAAGTTGGCCAAGTCCTGCTTGCAGCCTTGGCACTGAGAGAAACTTGCATGCTGTATGAGAATAAAGTCCAAGTTTAAGAGTTCAGCTGTTTTCCTTAACCAAAGGCAGTGTAGGGCATTTACAGCATGAAATGTCTCTATGTATATCACTTAATACCTTATTTAACTCACTTTCCCTCAAGCTTCTCAAAGTAATTCACTTTTGAAGCAATAACAAGCATGCAATTGAAAGACAAAAGGAGGATTTTTTTTGGGGTAGTTATGAACATACTGAAATGGGCATAGAAGAGGATTTTGTAACTGAGACACCTGAAGACTTAGGCCATTAATTTGTAACCTGTATGAACATTCTCTTCTCATCTGCAGTAACATCCAATCTAGGAAATGTTATCATTTTCAATCGTTGTCTTTTGAAGGTCTTGGTGCCTCTGGTTCTGCTGCAGCAGTTCCTGATGGAGTTGACAAAACGGGGCCAGGAGCCGCTCAGCACACTTGTGCACTTTGGAGTGACATATCTAGAAGATTATTCTGCAGACCATGTAATCCAACAAGGCGGATGGGTAAGAAGGCAACAGTAAATTTCATATCCCTTGGAGAGTGTGATTCCAGATATGTGGTTCTGCTTATGCTCTGCTAGTCATTCTACAGTGAGGCTGAGAGGATTTGCTAGTGGTCAGCATGTGAAGGTGAGAGCAGTGATGACTTGGTCTCCAGAAAAAAGGAGGGTTAGATTCTTAGGAGGAGATATGGCTTGGGTTGGGTTTACAAGGGCTGTATGAGTTGAGGAGGGGTTCAGATGGAAAATACTGACTGGGCCTTGTACTGAACATATTAAGACAAAAATGTTGCTGTTGTGTGGCTGGCTTCTGATGAGATGCTTTTTACTTCTGGTACATAGAATATTTCATTTTGGAGGCAAGTCCAGTATCCCATAGTTGCAGATGTGTTGAGCCAGAGAGGTCAGTCTGTATCATTTTATTTTCCCATGGTGGATAAATGTTGGAAATTGCTTGTATAGTATTTTCTCTTCTTTCACAAACTTCAGATTGTCTTTGGCAGAGGATGAACAAGCTCAGGAGTTCTGCACAGAAAATGCAGTAGGTGTCAGATTTGCCTTTTTTAATACACCATGTTAATCAGCATTTTTAATGCACTATTGGAAGGCATGCAGATACTACAATAATAGGGATGGTATAAAAATCTGTGGAATAAGCAGACCCCCTTGTAGCAAAATCTTCTTGCAGAAATCATGTGTCTTAGATTGCTGTTTCATATTCATGGCAAATTGAGAGTTGTATTTAAAAAAGCATTCACAGTTCTTGTATTGAAGAGGGGCAGGTCCTGTACTGTGAATCCACCAGAAATATAACTCCTAATCCCTGCAGTTTGCATGCAGCTTGTTGATGTGTTGGCAGTTCAGCTGGAGCTGTATTATGACAGGCTTGGCTTTGAGATTTATTTGTTTCTGGAAGGTTGCCAGATTTAAACGGAATTAATCTGGGATTAGCGAAATGTTAGTTGGTTTTATTGTAAAAGTAAAGCTGGGCAGGAAAATCCACTGATTAAAAAGTCCTAACAGGAAAAATTGTGTTTGGATAGCTTCTCATCTTTCTGTATTTTCATTGGAGATTTCTTGAGGCAGTGGTTCTCAACCTTTTTAAACTCAGGGGTGCCCTTGTTAGACTCAAAGCACCCCTAGGGAAAGGCCAGATCTTAGTTTTCACTTGCTTTTTGACTACAGAAAAATAATAGAGCAAGTCTTCTTTTGCAGAAGAACTCACAAAGGTTGCCACAGGTCAGAATGGTTTTAATGCTCTGAATTCCTATTTAAAATCCCTGGGTTGATCTTGTGATTCATGTTTGCACAACTAACAGTGTTGATATTGTATGACACCCTGCAGCACTCCTGAAAGGCTGTCAAGGCATCCCAGGGTGCATAGCACCTTGATTGAGAATCATTGTTTTAGGGAGCAAACTGTTTCATACATTCATTTCCTGACCTTTCCCTCTTCTTGGCAACAGGGTTTACTGCTTCTTTCTACTGGTACTGTCTGGTTGCTTTCCAGATGCAATTAGCCAAGATATGTTTGTCTTTCAGTTTTTGCCAGATGGGCAGGACTGTCATCTATGCATTTCGGACCTTAATTAAATAAATGCAGACATTGGCTTTGGCTGGTTAAGATTCCAGTTTGCAGTTAAGGCAGAAGAATGTATTGGTATCATGCTTTTTATAAAATTGACTTTTGGTGAATTGTCATTGAATAGGCTCATGTTTGTTTTCCAGCTCCACTTTCAAAGCCTTTTTTATAACTATACATGGGAGCTTGTGCTTTGTGTTGGCTGTGGGATCACATATGTGGCTGACTGGCCTATGTTCCATGGGCTGTGCTCTTGTCTGTATATATCCATTCGGGCACAAAATCAGGGTGACACAAGCAGCATAGTAAACAAGCCAGAGCTATTCTTGAATCAGGAGAAAAGGAAAGAAAACTAAACAAAGTGGTGAGAAAAAAAACCCTTTCTCACTGAATAGATGTGGCAACAGTAACCCTCAGCTGTTCCCGGGTAGGGGCAGGGACCCTTATGTACGTGGTTTCAGTAGAAGGGAATGAGTATGGTTTTTATCCTTTGTTTCCTGTAAGGGAAATGTTTGGTTTTATTAGTTGATACCTGCTTTTTTTCCCCTTTTTGTTTTGATTAGGGAGTATATAATCCACATGATGTGCGCCCCTTTATGACAACGTGATGGGTAGGGAATGGGGTATATCCTCAGGAATGAAGGTAGGGCATTTTATTTATGTTTGAAGTGAACAGAACTGCATACATGCATACACAGGAAGCTGTTAGGTGAAACCTATTTCATGGCTACTTCTAAACAACACGTGTGGGAGGAGCTCTATGTGGATTGAAGCATATTACCAGGGGTTCCCATATGCTGCAGCTGTGAGGGCATAGCATTGCCCTGGCTATCTGCAGTGAATTATCATGGTGAGAATGCAAGTTGTGCCTCTGGTGTGGTCCTAGAACTGTGTGAAGCAGGTGTAACCAGGTCTCTCTAGTTGGTTATTTTTGACATCCTGAAGCTGTGCAAGAGGAACAAGCAAAGTGCAGTGCTGCCTAGTTCGAGCTTGTCTAAAACTGAAGAAATGGCAAAATGACCTCTGCCCATAGTCTTGGGAAGTCATAGCAGAGGAAGGGGTTTAGGAGGAGATTTTTGGCAGCACAGCCTTCTCTCTTCTTAGGAGCACCGTGTAGGCTACAGCGCACTCTTAATTTTTCAAAGCAGAGGGTCATCTTTTAAGTTGGATCCAGCCTCTTTCAAAAATGAGATATTCAGGATGTTGAGAAGATAAGCTGAGCCTTCCTTCTCTATGATGACTTCCCATGGAGCCAGTATTATTTAGACGCATGATCCAATCAACTTCACTCTGCTGCAGTAATAAGGGTAATGCTTCTGCAGTTTCGAACGTCCCCAGAATGTGAGCAGTTTCTAGTTTTAGCCTGTTTTGAGGGGTTGGGAGATGTTTGGGTGTGAGGAAGTGGCTAATTCAGTGGTTGTGAACCTTTCTAGAGTTGAAGCACCCCTCTTCAGACTTCAGGCACCCATTGGAAAGTGCCAGCGCTTAATTTTCATTAATTTTTTTAACTATAGAAAAATAATAGAGCAAGTCGTCTGTTGCAAAGAACTCAGAAAAACCACAAGTCAGAATTGTTTTAACACTCTAAATTCCAATTTCAAATCTCAGGGCTTATTTTGTGAATCATATTTATACACCTAACAGTACTAACATTGTGTGGCATCCTGCAGCACCTTTTAAAGGATCTCAGGGCACCACAGGCTGCCATCGGAACCTGGTTGAAGATCACTGGGCTAACTGAACAGGGGCTGGGCTGGGTAAGTGGCAGAATTGAGCCTCATTAGAGGCTAAATTTGAAGTTGAAAATCGGAGATTTGATTCAGGAAATACAGCCGTATGCCTGCAGTGGCTCAGGCCAGAAGCTGGGGGGGGGGTGTTAGAGCACAGTTCTGTGGCTGTGTTCACTACTTCTTCCTGCTGCCCCTGAGGTCTCTGGGATTTGCAGTCCAGAATTACAGCAGCAGGACTCTGCAGGGTTGCTCATCACTACTTCTTCCTGCTTCCAGGTGCCTCTGGGGTTTGTAGTCTACCATTGCAGCCAGCAGTAAGTTGGAGTGGGGGAAGGGGTGTTTAACCACCCCCACCCCCAGGCCCCAGCCAGGGTTTGCC